AACACTGAGGGTTGCGATACGTTGCCGGACACGGAAAAAAGACAAAAAAAAAAAAAAAAGAAAAATATCTGGAAGTGGAGCTGCAGGATCACCCCTGGGGTTTTAGCATGTTTATCCCTTGGCAGAATGTCCCCTGGTCAACTGAGCAAAGAGAACCACAAGGTTTCTTCCCTCCTCTTCCTTCCCTAGCCCCTCTGGAGTGGAGGTCAAGGGGAGGACAAATAATTCAAGACACCTAGCAATTTGAAAAAAAAGTAAATAAGCCTTCTTTTCGGGGAGATCAAGAGGTACAGGAGGGGCAGAGGAATTTGCTGGAAGAACTGGTGAGCATCTGCCTACCTCACTAGGGCTCTAGTCTCATTCCTGGGTGGTGATCCCCTCAGATTTTGTACATGGGAGTCTTCCATGAGTTTTTCAGAGAACTTGGCAATTTATCACCATTTCTAGATGAGAATTGGGATAAGCTATGAAAGTTGTTTCTAGAGAAGTCAATTAACAAGTTATTTGCAAATTCAAATAAGAGGCAGACACAAAATTGAAAGGAAAGGTGTGCAAGGTGAATTTGGATCCTTGGCCAGCTGCCAGGAAAAAAAATTGGAGTCCTTATAGCTTGATACATACATTTCTTGGGGAAAAGAATTTTCCGATTCCAAAGAAGGCCATTAGGCAGCAGGCAGCAGTAGCCAGTCACTGCAGGGCAATGAGGAATCTGCTCTAGAGGGGCTCAAAGCCTGCTCATAGTCCTGTTGTGGCCTCTAGTTCCTTGCTGCCAAACATGCCCACTGACAGGGAGTGGCTAATTAAGCAGGGGCAAGTGTCTACTTTGTAGCTGTGTTAGTAGGAAGATTCAAGTGGCAGATAAGGCTTAGGTGATTCTAATATCCCTTCCACCCTTGAGATTCTATGATCTTATGAAGACCTGGGTCCTTTGAGTCAAGGGCAAGGTCAGTCCTGGGTCAGATCCTCTGGCCATGCCTAGGACCACCCTAATGCACCAGTCAGACTTCAGCTCACCAAAAATCCAGGCAGAGCAGGGCAAAGACCTCCCTTGTCTCAGACCCTGCATCACTCTTGTCTTTGTCTTTCTTAGTCTTACCTTTAAATGGCTCCTATCAGAGACATATATATGATAGCAACACCTCTCTAATAAGTAAACACTCAGCATTTTGACTCTGAGCTATGTCCTGTGTGTTCCCTTGTTTGGTATCCATGCGTACTTTCTCCTGGTCCTGCTCTCATCACCTTGCTAGGAACTTTCCACATTTTTCCAAGTCTCAGGCTGTGGCTTGGTTTTACTGATGGTC